GTTCCAAATGTGCATGGCACCTCACAGGTCTGACAGAGCAGGTCCTGGGCAGGGTCGGGAGCCTGTATTTTCAGCGGCACTGCCGGGAGGTTCAGCTGTAAGTGGAGAGGGATGACATTTTGGAAAACACTGGTTGGGGGGAGGTAAACCCCAATGGGGTGCCTTGGTGGGGGACATATGTGATTGGCTTACCTTTGCGACTAAGGACACAAGCACACAAATACTCCCTAAGCACCTACTATGGGCACTGCAATATCCACCCCTGGGGAGTCGGACATGAGGCAGTCCAAGTCTTGTGGTCAAGAGGCAGGGACAGAGAAGCAATCAATAATCTTTAATACAAAGAGTGGCCTATAAAAAATGCTGAGGAGCACAAAGGAGGGGGGCTTCATCCTGCCTGGGCCAAGGGCTATTTATGGACAATCACAGAGTTAGCATCTCTGCAAGGCCTTAAAGGATGCATGGGGGAGAGAGGAGTCTCAACCCGAAGGAACACCATGAGGCAAAGATGAGAGCATGTCAAGTCCATGGTTGATGCGGGAAAAGTCCACGGTCACCAGAGAGACTGGACATGCTGAAGCCAGTGAGACACACAGTGAGTGGTATTTTGGAGCTGGGCAGATATCGGGGATGAGGCTAAAAACAAGGTGGGCTTCAGGTTACAAACAGCAATACAGAAGTTTATACCCTGTAATCTACAGGTTTTAGGTTGTGTTTCTGTTTTAGAGCTGCGGGATGCTTTTTTCAAATTAGAGTGGCTCGTTCCTAAAACAAACCACCACCGCCAAAACCAGTCAGAGCTGCTCTGGTCAAAGCAGGGATGGAGAGCCGGAATCCCATGTGCCGGAAGCACAAACGCCCCCAAGAGAGGCCCCCAGGGTGGTGGGAGACGGAGTCACAAGCCGCTGCTGTGGCACAATGACAAGCAGGGGGTTCCGGTGCAGGGTAGAAGGCTAAGCCCAGAAGCCCAGGTTGGGGGTGCTGGGAGAAGGGAGGAACTGGGGGGCAGGCAGACTGGCATCTACCTGGGGCTAGAGGGCACAGGGCCTGGAGAGGGAGGGACACGCAGGGGAGGGGATGGCATAGACACAGAACCCGGTTTCCAACAGTGGATCAGCCACCTGAAACACAGGAAGGGATGGAGGCGTGTACTGGGGAGAGAAGAGGAGTCAAGGAACAAATGGAAATTCCGGCTCTGAAAAATGCTAAGCAGCATGTAGCAAACAGGGTGTCCAGAACTCAGTAGGGAGGTCAGGGCAAGGGAGGTGCATTTACAATGATCATCAGAAGGTCCATCCTATGAACCTCCAGGAGTCCTATGAACCACCCCTTCCTATGAAGGGGAAGCCAGTAGGGGTCCAAGTCCACAACCCCGAACCATGCAGGGTGGGATGCCTTGTGCCAGTTGCTGATCCAGGAGCCGAGGGCAGAATGGTGTGCAAAGAACCCCAGGGACGCGGACATTCCAGCAAGAAAGACATACAAATGCAGACTCTATGGGAAAAGAAAGCAGGGTCAGGGGCGCGGAGGGTGTGTCAGGATGAGCACGCCATTTTGTATCAGTGGTTAAGGAAGGCCTTGCGGAGAAGATGACATTTGAGCAGAGACCAGAAGGAGAGGAAAGCACGGTGCTAGCAGGTGCATGAGCGAAGAGCATTCTGGGCAGGGGGGACTGCTGGTGGGAAACGCTCATGCTTGAGATGACAGAGAAAGAGCTAGAAGGGTAGGAGAGAGAGGGAGAAAGGCATACTGGGTGGGAACATGGAATGCTATAGAGTCTCAAGGGCTATTGTAAGTATTTTGGCTTTTGCTCTGAATAAAAAGGAAAGTAGAGAAGAGAAAGGCCTTCTTCACTCAGGTAGGAGAGAGACCACTTCAGCTGCTGGGATGGGAAGGGAGTAGAGGGGGCCAGGGTTGAAGCCAGGAAAGCAGTGAGCATGCTCCTGCAATGGCCCCGGTGAGAGAGGTGGTGTGGCTCAGGGTTTAGGATGCAGGTGGAGAGAATGAAATGGATTCTGGTAGAATCAACACCATCTGCTGAGAGTGGATGTAGGGGAGAGAGAAGGAACGGGGGAAGGAAAGGAAGAAGAGAGTCACAGAGGTCTCCAAGAGTCGGGGGCTGAGCACATGGAAGGATGGAGTTACTGTCAACTGCTCTTATCCGAGATGGGACACATGGAGGAAGGCAAACTGGGGAGAGAAAGTGAAGAGGTGGGTTTGCCATGTGACATGTGTTGACTTCAGATGTGTATCAGACACCCACACGGAGACAGAGAGGAGACAGACGCACAAGTGTAAAATTGTGGGAATCACCAGCATACTGATGGAACTAAAAGCCTTGTGACTGAATGACGTCACTGGTGTGGACGGGCACAGGAGGCCTGTGCGCTGAGTCTCACGAACAACACTCAGAGGAAAGGGGGTCCCACGAGATGAAAGCAAAGCACTCAGAGACATGCAACCAAGAGTGGCCTCTAAGATCAAGACACGATGGGGCTTGAAATATCCAGAAAAGGGGAGGAAAGCTCTTCATCTCACACCCCCAACCAGAATTATACCCCCGAATGCTCGAATTCTTAGCCATACCATCACATTTAAGACAACAACAACAAATAACGACTTGTTGGAAATTACTATTAAAAATGCAAGTAACTCTACTAAGAGACTCTCTGACTCATCCATGGAGAGGGGGAATGAGTTCAGGTTGCTGGCTTCCTAACACTGAGCTCAGACAGGGTCCACCAAGGACTATTAGCGTGTGTCGTGGGGGAGAGCTGGTAATTTGGGAGCTTCAGGTAACAGTGTTAGTTGTCAGCATTTATTAAACACTTTCTCTATGCCAGGCACGCACGTTAGTGTTTTATGTTCATCCAGTAATCCTTAGAACAGCCCCCAGGAGACAGAGCCAATGATTATTCCCATTTTACAAACAATGAAACTAGGGGTTTTGTGGGACTAGATCTTGTCTGTGGTCACACAGTAGGCTAAAATGGACAGGTAGGTAGTAGGTGCCAAAGGATTGCTTTAGGTGGCAGGAGGCCTCTAGATGCCGTGGAACTCAAAACTGATGGCCTCGATGGCAGACATCAGCTATGCTGCGGTGAATGTTGCCTCGGAAGGCTCTCCTGAGAACATTACTACTCTCTCTAGAATCCTGTTTCTCTAGGGAGGAACAGTTACAAATGAAGTTCTAGAACATAAGGTGTTCACAATTCCAAAGGGAAGGAGACCCACCTACAGACGTGTAATGGACGCCCAGAGAAGCGAGGGCAGCTCACTACAAGCTGTGGGGTGACTGATCAGGCAAATGAACTCAAATGAACAATGCTGGAAGTAATTACACTTTCTAAATTAATGTAATTATTTCTATTACAAATGTGGGACACTGTGGACACTATTTCATCCGAGTGCTGGCTTTCAGAGCACAAAAATGCAGCAATACAGATGAGGAGAGCTGGAGTTTGTGTCTTCATTGAAGTCACTACATTCTGATCCTCAAAGATCCCAGATATTCTTAGAAAGTTATTTACTGTTATGTAGTCTTAAAATCTTGGACCATACTTTAAAACACTGTGCCTTTAAGTAGGCTAGTTTGTGACCTGTTTAAAAAGGCACCCCCTCAAAACCTGAGGTCCAGGTTTGCCTTGAAAACAGATTACCAGGAAAGAACGAGAGTTACAGCACATCTCTGAAACCAAAGACACAGGATTTCACGGGGCTAAAGTTTGCCGAAACCACTCCTATTATGACAGGAAAATGTCATCCCATAATGAAAGTGAAAATGTTTTAGATAAGGAGCCTCGCGGATTCTACCCCACCCCCAACATCTTTGGGGCCCCGGAAAAGGCAGTGGCTCTGAGTTACAATTCTTACAGACAGGGGTGCTAATGGCAACAAAAAGGAACGAACTTACCTCCCTTCATACGATCATTATCACTTTTTAAAAATCTTGCAGGCATTTTACGGAAGGCTTTTAAAGACCAGATTTGGGTCTCCTAGGTAAATTTCACAGAAAACAGCAATATACCTTTCTCCCTAATGCCTAACCACACAAACAGTGCCATCACAATTTCCATAAACTCTGGAGACAGCCTTGAGGTGTCGTTGTTCGGCACCCACTGGGTGACGGATTTACCAAAACGGGCTTTGCGTGAGTGCATTTATTCATTTGTCGAAAACTTCTTAAGCTCCTATGTGCCAGGTGCAGCTCTGGCTGCTGGAAGACAGCAAAAGTCAAACACAAAGTCCCTGTTCGTCGGCTTTTAACAGAGGAGAAAGGACTGAGGGGCTGAGGGACTGAAAATAGAATGCCTCATACATAATACTACGGGGCAACATTAAGCATTACGGAGAAAAATAGGGGAAAGCAGGGGGAACCCAGAATGCTTGCAAGATTTGGGGTGTGCTAATGTGGAGACCGTAGTCCGTTTCTGAGATGGCACCTGAGCTGTCCCCTGAGAGAGCTATAATTGTCCCCATGTCACTGACAAGTGAGGCATGGCTCGCCGAGTCCCAGCGCCCAGAAGGCGCGGGGGCTGCACAGCAGCGGGTCAGGAAGTACCTGCCCAGTGTTCGAGAAAGAATGCAGAGAGGTGTCCGCGGCAGTTTCGGTGGGGCGCGGGGTGGCGGCCAGCGCTGGGCCTCGACCCGCGCCACCACCGCACACTTCCCGGGGGGCCGGTCCGCTTTCCCGAGCGCTGTCACCGCGGAGGTCGGGGCCCGGCCGGGGCAGCCGCCCGCCGGCACGCTTCCTTTCAGGGGAGGAGAGGGGCAGAGTGCTGCCGAAACTTTTGGGGCTGCGCCGGTGCCCTCCCGCGCGGAGGCGAGGCCGCCCAACGCTCGCCCGCCCCGGCCCGGCCCCGGGCTCCCGCCCCGGCTCTGCGCGCGTCCTGGGGGCGCGGGCGGCCGCGGAGCGGGGCCGGGGCCGGGGGCCGCGCCGAGACAAAGCGGCGGCGGCCGCCGGGCCGGGGCGGGACGCGGCGGGCCCCGCGCCCCCTCACCTGTCGAGCCAGAAGGTCCAGGGCGAGTGCAGCGGGACCTCTCCCGGCTCGGGCCGCAGCGCCGACAGCTGCTGCAGGCCGAGCGGCGGCGCGGCGGCGGCGGCGCGGGGCCCCGGCGGCTCCCGGGCCCGGGCGGGGGGCACGGCGGCCGGGGGCATCGCCATTTTCTCCGCCCCGCCTGCGAGGCCGGCGGACGCGCGGACCGCGGGGCGAGCGGCGGCTGAGTCACCCCGGCCCCCGCCCGCCCCGCCGCGGCCGCCCGGCCCCGCCCCGCGCGCGCGCGCCCCGCCCCGCCCCGGGCCCGCCGCCGCCCGCCGCCCGCCGGGGCCTGGGAGCCCCTGTGGCAGCCGCGTGCACCCGGCGGCGGGGGCGCGCGGGCCGGGGGGAGCCCGACGGCAGGGCCCGCCTGCGGGAGGGCAGAGCTGAGGCCGGGTGCGGATCAGCCGGCTCTGGGGGTCGGGGAACAGGGGGCCGGTCCGAGAGGGGGCTCCCCCTGCAGCCCGGCAGGGGGCCGGAGAGACGCGTGGCTGGGCTCCGGAGAGACGGAGGGCTGGACGCACGCAAGGCCCCGCGGAGGGTTCCCGACGCACACGCTGGGAGGCGAGGAGGGGCGCCCAGAAATACCAGCAGTCTGCGGGATGGGTGGGAAAGCCAGCAGATGGCTGGAGGATGGAGCGACGGGAGGGCAGATGGAAGCGCAGTTGGACGTGACAGAGAGACGGCAAGGGGAACCGCCGGCCACGCGGACGAAGAAACTGGGATGCCCAACAGTGCAGGAAGGGAGGGCCCCGCAGACCCACGTCAGGAGCCACGCACCGCGGCGTGAGGGTGTAATCGGTCCGTTTTGTGTTCCTCCTGCCGAGCACGTTACCCAGCTCCGCTGATTTTAAGGAACAGACCTCGCAGTTCACCTTCTCCGGGGCCACCATATGTCTCTGGCCAGGCACCAAGTCTGGCCCCAGGTGTGGCCAGCTTCGAAGGAAGGTTCTCAGAGTCGGTCTGAATCCTCCAGATTTGGCCCAAAGCACCAACGAAGAAGGAAAACAGGCACTTCTTGAACACACCCTCTGCTTTCTGAACTTCGAAGACATAGGATGTCTTTGCGGCCATGAGGTTCCTGGGTCCCAATAAGAGCAATCCTCCCAGCACAGCTCCTTGCCGGGTTTCTGTCACTCTCCCTCAAAAGAGGAGGCAGAGGGGCCTGTGAACTCACACGCATAGCTGGTAAGGGCACGGAGGGCCTCTCGAAGCTTGAATGTTGGTTAGTCCCTCTCTGGCCTTTAACAGCTGTGGATGTAGAGGCCCATCTTCTCAGATTTTCTACCTGGTCCAGCATATGTTCTTCTCTTACTTAGCCTGAGCATTCAGTGGGATGGAGGCACTGTAAAACCAGATGGGTTCAGGGACTTCACAGGCATTGTAAATGCCTGCTATGCACCCCAAGATAGGTGCTTTCCCCGAAAGGTATTTAAGTTCAGATAAAAAGACAAGCTAAACAAGACCAATGCTTTGTGACCCCTGCTTCAAACATAATTTGTATACAACATATGATGCTGAAAGCAGTGACATATTTATAAAATCTGTCCAGTTCTGAGATCCTAGGGTTCCCTTTGGTTGGATGAAGGGGTTTTTGTTTAATTTTTCCTTTTTTTTTTTTTTTCCCCAAGAAAAGACGTATGTGATATTGTTTCGGCTGTTCTGAGCATTTTATACTTATTAATTCATTTAATCCTCATAACAATCCAATGAGGAAGGTACTGTTTTATGGATTCATCCATTTTATAGGTGAGAAATGAAAAAGTTAAATTAATCCCAAGGGCACACAGCTAGTAAGTGATAGAGCTGGGATTTGAACCCAGGTGTTCAGATTTCAGAATCTAGGCTTTGAACTGTCAGGCGCTATTGCCTCTCTGACGGGAAAATGAACAGGTCCACATAGTAGAAATAAGGCAGTGAATAGTCAAGTCTCACTCCCTCTGAAGGCCATCAATCTTCCCGCCCAGAGAAAACCACTGCTAACAGCTTCCTTCCGGAAAACTGCAAGTAGGCACATAAAAGCGTGTATCTAGACATTGAAACTGTATACCTATCTATACCTTTGATAAGAGAAACAGAGGCGTTTTCTACCATTACTGTACCTCCTTATCTACTTAACATGATATATTTGAAGATTTTTTTCCCCATATCAAATATATACATCCACTTCAAGGGCTGCAAAGTAAACCACTGTAAAGAAGTAATATGATTTAATTCACTAGCCCTCAAGACTGATGTGGTTTATAGCCACTTTCTTTTATGAATAATGCTACCATAAGCATTTTTATATTCAGTGTCTTTCTTCAGCTGCATAAGTTTGTTTCAGAGTAAGCTCTGCAAAGTAGAATTTGGGCCTGCATTTAAAAATGTGACACATATTGCTAAATTCCTGTCCAAAGCAGTTACACGAATTTGCTGATTTATAAATAACGGTTTCCTCTAAAGTCATGTTTGTTAAGTGATACTTGTCTTTATAAAGTTCTAAGCTAGAAAGGGGGCTTTTTGGCTACTAATTAGATTAGAGCTCATCAGACTGTCTGGTCCAGTTTCTTCCTTCTGTCCAGCAGCAAAAGGTCAACGTACTGTCAACAACAAAGGGTTAATTTAAAAGTTTCATCGGCGGTTTCCAAAAGAGAGTAAGCACCACATGATAAGTTACTTCTAGGATTTAGAACTAAGAACATTCTGGCAATTTTTCTTCAGTGAGTAACAATTATATACCTCCCTCTCTTTTCGCTTTGGCTTCCAGGATACTCAGAATTACATTTCGTGTTTTAACCATAACATTGATTATCAGCAATGAAGAAGCATCACTATTTTTATACTAATTTACTCCTATTGTTACTTTTAATCACCTAATTGCACATACGCATCTTGTACTGTGAACCCCTCAAATCTATTTTGGAAGTAGGTGATATACCAACAACAACAACAAAAAAGTTAAAGGACCTTAAGATTAAAAAAACAGACCGCAACATGGCTAAGGCGAGAGGCAAGCAGAGAACAATGGGCATAATTTTCATTCCCTTCCTATTTGAAATGTGTAAGAGACTTAACTCTTGTTCCTGCTCTTCCGACTCATCCTTAGAAGATAAAAAAAAATTAGGACAATCCCCCTCCCCTTCCCCATTTTGCAGCTGGACAGCAGGAATTAGAAATTCAAGGTAGAAGGGAAACGTGGAGATTATCTAAGCAAACCCATCATTTTACAAATGAGGAAACTGAGGCCCGGAGAGGTGAGGTGACTTACCCGAAGCCACAGCTCTAGGAAATGACAGAGGCAGGGCCAGAACGTGAGTAGCTCGAGATCCAAGCCAACGTGCTCTCCCACTGCATAACACACACCTCAGACGACTTGGGGTAGCAGGAGGGAGGAAGAAAAGGTGACCCCACAGCCCCTAGCAACGAAAACAACAAAAAGGACTTGAGGCACTCATAAATAATTAAGCAATTAGCTGCAGCAGCTACTCCCCTCCCCTCCAGTATCCAGTCACCAAGGCAACTTGGGCAGGGTGCCTGCTGGTTGCCTAGTAACAATGTGGTCTGCTCCCTTGACATGCTCCCTAGGCATCAGAGGATTTGAGAGCTGGGAAGAGCCTTAGACAGGGGTCCCTATTCCAACACCTTCATTTTCCAAATGGGGAAAGAGAGGCTCAGAGAAGCCGAGTAACCTGCCCAAGGTCACACAGCTACTCAAAGGCACAGCTAGGCTCTGTTTCCAGTTGCTTTCCATTGCACTATGGCTGCCCTGGGGGCACTGAAGACGGAGGAGAGGAGACCCTTCCACAGTTGCTAGAGGAATGAGAAAGTAAGAGCAAGCCAGCGAGCAAGAAAGAGACTGAGACCTTGAGCTCCCATGTGCAATTAGCAGGAGCTGGTAATCCCATCAGCCCAACTTTCATCATCACCATGGCAACATGGGTGAGGCGGGTGCTGGTTGCCTAGGAACAAGTGGTCCTCTTCCTTCACTCACATCCAGCTCCCCGGGAGTCACAGGAATAGTAGAATATTGGAGGTGGAAGGGAAAGAGGGATCCTAACTCAGTCTCCTCCCTTGACTAATGAGGAAACCGAGGTTCAGGGGCACTGTGCGAAGTCACGCAGCCACACAGCTAGCTAGTGACACGGACTCATTGGTGGCCAGCCAGCTTTTCTTGAATTCCTTCCACTGGATGCCTCTGGCATAGTACTGTAGGATGGAAAACTTCACTCAATAATGTCAAAACACGGAGGGGAATGGCTAGTGGTCCCCTGGAGGGACTTCTACCACCAGTCTCAATGGTGACAATGTTGCACACAAGGCCCGGCACACAGCAGACAAGAGGCATCGTGCACGGTAGTTAAACGCGCTGTCTCTGAAGTCAGAAAACTGAGACAATGGCCAGCTCTCCCCAAACCTGGTAAGCTTCCTGTCCCTCTAGGAATCAGTCTCCACATCCGAGAAATGGGCGTCCTGACATTCCCTCTCTTGTGAGTTAAGAGTAAATGAGACAACAGCATGCCAAATGCCTGGTGTCTAGTAAAGATGCAGTCGATGCTAGGTGTTCATTTATTCTACATTCGATAAATATTTACTGCATGTCTGCTATGCAAATGGCACTGTTCTAGGCTCCTGAAATTCATTAGTGAGCAATACAGACAAAAGAAATCCCTGTCTCAGTGAACCTACTTTCCAGCGGAATGAACGTGTGTGTATGAATGACTATATATAAACACAAACACTTAAATATATATGTAATACATATATATGCATTACATATATATTTAAATGTTTGTTGAAGGGGCGGAGGAACTCATTGCCAATATGCTATGTTTATGTTACCAGGCTCCTTCTCTAAGACTGAGAAGTTTCCTGTTTACAGGGTGTGATGCTATAAATATGCAGGCCTGTCTTGTATGTGGGAACTCCCCGTTTCCTTTCTTTTAACAGCTCAGAATAAAAAAGGAAGGCAGTGGCCACTAGATGGCAGACCTCAGTCTCTCTAGATTCAGGGGACAGCGAGCCCCAGGTCCTGCACAAGCTTTTTCAGCAAAGGCAAGTGTTGCAGTTGGTCAGTCCTAGGCGGCGCCTAGACGAGGGGGAAAGACTTGAAGCACCTCTGGGACACTGAGGGTGTTGGGGTTTAAGA